GTGTGTGTGTGTGTGTGTGTGTGTGTACTATACATATATACATGGCTTCTTTGCTTTGTCAGTCTGTCCACAGCGATTCCCAGTGCTTCTATTTAAGGCCTGACTGATTGGCCGACTCTGAGCTGTTGCTTGATAAATCTGAGAGGGAGGATAAGAAAAATCCATGATGTGATAAAAACACTTGTGGATTCAAAAGTAACTTACAACACAGTAAGCTGTGTGCCCTGTGTTGCTGAGCTTTAAATTACAGCTTTGGTCTTTGCCTGTAGCAAGATTGTGTCATTTATATATTGTAAATATACTGAATATGGACAGAGACTACACATCGTAATACTATGTTTAAGAGATCCTGCTGCAGCTCAGTGTGACTCAGGCAGCAGAGAACGTCCAGCATGTTTGACCATGACCACAGAACCACAGTCACACTGATAACCTTCTATACATACAGGCCTTTTCCACAGTGGACATTCTGACCTGTCATCATGGACGGATAATCATGATGGGCCCTCGACACAAACTTGCCACAGACCAATACACACATAAATGGTACACGCTCACTGCAACTGCCCCGGGACAGCCTACAACCACACAGCACATGAAATTATATTTGTTATTTTTACACAATTACTGTTTTTTAGGTCTTTTGTACATGTATCATGTACAGCAAAAGTGTGTACATCTTAAGGGGTTTACATAAATGTACATCACATGTAGTACAGAGTCAGGACAATCTGCATTGAAGAATATCCTACTTAAGGCACCGGCATTCTTCTGCTTGAAAGTCGTCAAACTCCAACACCTGGATGAGTTCCAGTTCAATAACCAGGAGTGACGACATGTTCAGACATGGCTGCGTCATCCTGGTTCATTTCTTACTCCCTTGCAGTTACAGACAGGAAGCCTCAGATACAGTCTTAACACAATGTATATGATATAACTTTTCATGATTTGATTAGCTAAGTAACAATACAAACAATTTCATAATATTCAATTCAACATTTTTAAAATCAATATTTCAAATACAAAAAATACATATCACAATAAAAGAGAACCTGACTAGAGTCAACCTCCTCCAAAGCCCAACTGTCTCCTTATGAAACAACATTTAAATTTCCAAATTTCTTACTTGGATCTGCACCAGATTACACACACTCATAAATATCAGTTCCCTAAACATGCATGGGTTAGGGTTAGATTTTTTTTTCCCATCAAGATCCATGAATTGTTCTATGGGAAAGTGGTGAAAATATTTTAAAAAATGCAGTGTTAAAGAAAGTGATAAAAACATAAGTGTAATACTTGTGACAAAAACCAACAACTCAAACATCAGACAGAGGTAAAACATGACCTCATTGTTGGAGGTAAGGATAAATCTTAAAGCCCCCATTGGCTCCAGGACCCTGGGCACGTGTCCGCTTTGTGCATGCTGTAATTCATCATTGCCTGTCATAGTAGGAAAAGCATGGGTGTTGCTGATAACATTAACAATGGCTCTGTTCTGTTAAAGTGAAGACATGAGTGTTTAACAGCATGAGAAATACCAGGACGCTGAAACAGAAGAAGCTAAATGGAATTCTGCCATCTTTAAGTTTATTATATACACATGTGCTGTTCCTACTGTGACATGTCAGCATGTCTGCTGTGAAATAAATGGCCTGCATGGATATGAGCAAAAGAAGGAGAGTAAAGCCTAGTTTATGCTTCTGCGTCACGTCGACGCCGTAGACGCAGACCCCTACGCCGTAGCCTGACGTGCGCCTCCCAAAAATCCTAACTACGCGGACGTCGACGGGGACCGTAAGACAAAACACTGCGCTTCAGTTGTATTGTACAATAAATAACACAATTCAATATAAAAATGCAGACAAATCTATTCTGTAAAATGTTATGTGGCAACCAAACAACATAACAGCCAAACAATGGAGCATCTCAGGATTTAGAGTCTAAAAAAGCAGCAGAGTGTTGCAGACTTCCTGTCTCCACTGGTGAGTAAATCTGCAATCAGCTAATATCGGCTGTGGCCTGGCCGATCTGAAACTCTCGTTTTAAACATGTCCCCAATCCGTTTCCAACAGACGTGTGAAACAGCTGTTTGAACCACATTTCTCAATGAAATTTGATATCACTACTAAAATAGTTATTGTACTTAGAATAAATACTCGTCCTTTATTTAGATTGAAGCTTAAGATGCATTTCCACCGAGTCGTGTGGATCAGTGACTCCTGCACATGGTTTGATTTCTTCACTCTCCAGGAACAGCTGCCCTGTCAGTGTTTATTTCTTCTTCACCGTCCAATTAGCCTGAACATATTGTATGTTAATGCCCTTGATGCTGCAAGTCATTATGGAAGTAGGTTAAGTTGATCTGGCATGTAGCTGTACAACAGGCTATTGTAAATAATCTGTCCTTAGCTTCTTAGCCCATTGTTTAATGTCATACTTTGTAGATTGTGCCTGCTCCTGCTGGCTCAGGGCTTCGTTCCTCTCCGGGATAACGGACCTGATGAACTGCACATTACATCAGAATTGTTCTTCTTTTTTTCTTTCTTTTTTTTATCCCAGTCCGCACCTTTCTGCCAGTGTACACACACAATGTTTCAAACACAATGCATCCATTCTTTTCCCTGCATACCTCCTGCGGGAGAGAAGAATGCTGCTGGAGTTTTGGGTTGAAACGTATCCCAAGCAGGGTTTATTTAACTCTGAGGTGTGGTGCGGCCGATGTAGGGATATACACGTCTGTGCACATGCAGTACCTCACTCCTTGTCTATGTGTGAAAGCAGAAGTCTTTGCTTGTCTCCGCTGGGTTGTATATAGGTTACAGTGTGTACACGCTGTTGCTAAGTGACCTCCATGGTAGAGCTATGCTTGTGTGTGTTTGAGCCAGCTCTCTGCTGCTGTGGGCTTCAGAGAAAATAAGAAAGACCTGAAGAGGGTGGCTGTTTGAGAGGCGACCAAAGCTGTGACAGTGTGAGAGACACAAATACAACGTGTTTATGTAAATGTATTCCATCTGCTGAGCTGTCAGAACACAGCTCGTCCTGACTCAGGAAAACTGGAGGTCAGCTCATCAAACATGTAAACCCCATGCTGTCTGATCCTGTGAGCTAAACGCACATGCACAACATGACAATGGAAAATAGGAGGATTTTCTTAAGGAGACTAATGGGGAGAAAATCCTTGTCTTTAACCTTCAAGCCAGCTCACATCATCGTAGGTAAATGCCAGCACATGCAACCATTATTATTTCTTATGATGAAATGGTCATTTTGTTGGAAATGCTGTATGGAAGCTCCACAGCCAGCCAGTCTGCGGCAGAGAGGCCGGGATGCCATGATCTAATTAAATAAATGCATTTGACTCTCTCATCCCTTCAGTCACACAGCATGTTCTCCATTTGAATGAGAGAGAGAGAGGGAGAGAAGGAAACAAAAACAAGATTGTTTCCGAGCCTGAAGACACGTTTTTGTTTTCCATGATTGTAAGTGAAATCGCTTTGCCAAGATTATTTTAGCGCTGAGGGAACAGAGGGCAGTTTTCACAAACAAGAACAAACACTTTGAGGATTTGAAAAACAATATTGTTCTTTTTATAATTGTATCTATTACATCAGCTTTGTATGCATCCTGTGTATCTGTGGTTCCTGGTAATCAAACAAAAATATAAATAACAGTCAGTAGAGCACATAACTCTCCGGAGGCCCAGCAGACCCCTTAAATTAAAACAAGCCTTATTTCTAAGGCTACATTACGTGGTGCTGGTTCCAGGTTTCTAGTCCTATTTGTCACCATACCTCCTACAAAGACTTCACTCTATGAAACTACATTTATATCCACTAGACCCAGAGTTTATCTGGATATACACTAAATGTTATAATATTTTTTCCCTTTCACATCTTTTAGTATTTTATTATTTCTTTCTTTCTCTAATCTCTTATTATTATCTTTTATTGTTATAATTGTATCTCTTTTTATCTGCTTTTGGTGTTTCTTCATTTCTAATTTATGAGATTTGCGACAGCGTTTCCTCCTTTCATACCATATATTTTGCTTTGTGGGTGGGGGCTGTGGGGGGTATTATTTTTATTGTTTATTTTCTGTAAAGCACTTTGTGTTACACTGTTTATATGATAAACGCTACACAAATGTCTTATTGAGTCTAATAACATCAACATTGCTACTAAAGATTTAATGGATACCAGAAGAGTCCTAGAATAAATAATTGTTCATATTTAGGTTGTGAACAGTTTATTAAATGTGTCTGGGCATTGAGACGCAGACCACAACATATATCCAAACTGTAGCTAGAGGAAACTGCCTTTAATGCAACAGTTTAGTCTGTGGGATATTGTTCGAGTTCTCAGGTTGACACAGGAGCCCCTCCTGCGTCGTCCCCTCTCATTCTTTCAGCCTCCTCTTGTCCACTCGTCCTCTCTGCCGCTCTCAAGCAGCCCAGTCAGCCTCAAGCAGCAGCCGTGAAGAGCTAACAAAGAGAAAGCAGGCGGGGGTCAGCTCCTCGGTGCACCAACAATACCCCCAGTCACAGCCCATTAGCACATCAGCAGTCATCTGTCCCATATACTGTATTTCGCTTCCCTACGCCTTTTAATCTTATGTAAGACTCGGACCAACCCCCACCCATGTATCGTTGCCACTTTCCCGCCGTTTCCTGCCCCTCACTTGTTAGGCAGAGAAATTCAACTTCCTGTGATTCTCAATCAGCTTCAAAGGAATTCTTTTGTTTCCTTGCTAAATGAGGTGTGCGAGCGTTCTGCATTGAATTGAACTCAGGCCCTGTGGGATAACCTGTGTGTACTTTACCCTTTTCAAGTACAAGCTTAATGCTGCCTCTTCTCTCCCCCCCCCCACATCGTTTCACTGTTCGACTGATGTCTCTTTATGTCTCTCTCTTCCTGTAGTGATGGTGATCGTACTGCTCCGATATGCCCACGTCATTGAGAAGCACCAAAACTGTGTCCTCAACACAGCAAGTCTCTCCACAGGCTGGATCTGTGCTGCTGGACTCATCATGGTGGGCAACTTCCAGGTACGGTCACCCAATTTAATCATCTACAGGTTTCTGGTCCTATTTGCTACCATACAGTGGCTGAAAAAACCCTCTGCCCTTATGAAACTACATTAAACTCCTCTAGATCTCCAGATTTATTTTGGGATCTGCACTAAATCAATTAATTATTCAAGATTCACATATAATTATCTTAAAAATCTTTCTCTATCTAGCAATGTTAAAGAAAATAAAAACCTTAAATCTTATCTGGATCCACACTAAAATTGAGTGGGTTCTTCCCCCGATCCATTCCTCATCCATCCACCGTGTTTTATGGTAATCGGTCCAGTAGTCTTTGCGTGATCCTGCTAACCCCAACCACTTTGGCAGACAAAAAAAAGATTAACTCGAATATGTTTTCATGTTCTTTTCTTTTTTAGTGTGAGGTTTTTTTGGCCCCTGTGGTTTAACATCATGTTATGTTAAATCTGTTTTTGGTTTAGGACAGCTGAACTTTCAAAACAAGAGCACGGGTTGGATATTCCTGGGTTGTAGGATACTGTGATGGGCAGTTCTTATGTTTTATAGATGAAACAAGGAGGAAATCTACATAAAGGTTTGTCAATGCCTGTCATGTAGTTCAGTGTTAAAACTGTGGAGAAGAAGAAAAAGAAACCCAACCTGAATTCCTGTCCTGTAGATATTTGTTCATTGGGAAAGAATTTCTTCAAGTTTAAATATTTGGAGCCTTGGCTTGATCCCTAGAGTGTATGTGTTTTGTTTTGAAGAATTAGACAGAGGGACAGCAGTTACAGTTTTCTTTGTAGAAAAATAGACTTAAGTAGAGGAGACATGTACGACAATAGTCATCCTTTCATCTAATATTCCCCAGACCTTGACCTGAGCTGTTCAGCGTTTGTTTTTTCCTCGAGTGTTTCTTTGGTGTAAACAGTTTGTTTTGTGATGACAGGCTGAATTCTCCTGTGTAGTCTTGTTGCAGTTGTACTTTCGTTCTTCAACGTACACAACATTGCTGAATACTCGACTGTTGATGGGAAAGTTTTGGAAAGAGGCTCATACTGGCTCTGATGACCACTAAAACCCTTCAGTTGTTACAACTTCTAAAACATATGCAATGGTCACTGTTTCTATCTTGAATTTATGTTTCATTATAAAATAGAATAATGTTACCCCGTGTGTGTCTGTTGTCACTGTTACATTTTTTGACAAGAATATCTGTGCATTAAATCTTCCTGTGGCTTTGGATGAATGTGATGCTTTGAATAGTCGTCCTTGGGTTTGCTGGAGATACATTTGTTTAAGATTAGGATTATTGCAGGGCCGACGTACTAAAACAACCAACCATTCACACCTATGGACAATTAAGAGTCTTCAATTAACCTAATCCCAATCTGGACGTCTTTGGACTGTGGGAGGAAGAAACCACATGCAGACACAGGGAGAAAAGGCAAACTCCACACTGAAAGGAACTGGGCCAAACAGGGATTGGAACCACTGGCACCACCTTGCCACCCCTTCTAGATTATGTTTTCTGTCGTGGAAGCACATGTAGAAGACGAAGACCATATAGCAGGAGCTCTTTTAAATGCAACGATGCTGATTCAGTGTCCTTCAGAAGTGCCCTGTGTAATAAAGAAGAAGAGGGATGGGCTTCCATGAGTGTGTGGAGCAGATGTGCAGTTTGTCTCAAAGTGTACGAAGGTCATCTTCACCCTCTTCACGCTTTTCCTCCAGGGGCCTCCGCTCTGCAGAGGAATTTTACGGGAAGCGCCAAGGAGAAGTTAGTCATCAAGTCTGGCCATGCATAAAACAGAGCTGGGAAGACAGGGTGCGTGTAAGAGAGGCCCCATACCTAACCAATCACAGACACTGGCTCGCAGACTCACATCTCTTCCTGCTGGGGACATTTGTACTGGAATGGAAATAGAGATGTCATTGATAGTGAAGAAACTGTGGACGGGAGAGAAAACCTGCTGCGAAATGATACGCAGACCCAAATTCATAGGCTCAAAAAGCATCTGCAGGCAAACACCATAGGAAAGAGAGAAAGCAGCAAAAACACAGCACATGGTAACATATCCGGTGGTGGCAACTGCCGCGGGTTGTAGCTGTCTCTTAAATAATACTCTGATAGCACGGCTGTGGTGTGGCCAACAGGGCTTTACTTAGGTCTGATGGTTTGAGCTGAGAAACACAAAAATAGATGGAAGTTGTCACTCCCCTCTTTTGTTCTCCCCTTTTCCTTGTAGTTCCTTACTTAAGCTGCCACATTTTAGTCCTTTTCATTTCTCTCAACATCCATCGGTTTGTCATCGCGGTCACCTACGCCCACACATCGAGTTAAACAGCAATGGTTTACTTAACTATATACAAGTCGGCCAGTGTTTGTGTAAAATGGTGTTGTAGCTCTTCCTGACCTTTGTTAAACTGAATTGACAATCAATACTAACCATTGTGGAGTAAATGGATGACATCAATATTTTCATTATTGATTAATCTGCTGCCCATCACAAATTTCAGATTTTTGCTAAAATTTAAAATGATCAATACTGTGGTTAATTCAAATAGTTTTGATCTGTTGCCAGTGTGGTTTAGCTCATGTATGAACAAGAAGGTATGTGTATGTGTGTGTGTCCCTGTTTGATTGCGTTACTGTAGATTTTGAGGTATTAGATTACAATAAAAATACTACTGTGAAAACTCATAAAACCCTGTGGGAAAACATGTGAGGCCCGACTCATTTCTTCATCCTCAACTCTGGAGATGTCACAGTCAGATCTGAGAAAAGACTCAAATCACCACGTGTGCGTTTCAAATTGAACTGTCTGGAAATCTTACACTTCAAGGATTAGCCTACTGCACAAGAATGTTCAGTATGTATTAGCTGGGTCAATGGACAAATGGCTTACAAGCCAAAACTAAATAACTTCTAGGCTGTTGCTCTAATGATCTCTAAGAATTGTGTGGAGCTTTTCCAAACACAAAGACTTCAACCATTTAGCTTCAGTAACAAAAAACTAAAATAACTCTTTATCATCAGTCTAAATTAGTCTGGTTCATGGAGGTGTGTCCCGAGCTTTGTTTAATGCTCCACTGAATCTCTTATCTGTTCTCATCAGGACATTTGTGCTCTCTCTCTCTCTCTCTCCCCCTCTCCCCTCTCTTCGTGTGTGTGTGTCCTGCAGTGGGAGCTGTAGTCACATGCTCCTGAGCAGCTCTTTTGTGTATTGTGTCTTATCGTTCTTGTGACCGACACGGAAAAGAGGAGGTGTTCTGTTGTGTTACTCGCCGCTGTCGTTTCCTGCACATCACCCTCTTTTTCCCCTCATTCCTCTTCTGCTCCTTATTCGAAAGTAATAAGAGGCTTTGAACAAAGTGAATGAATAAACCTGACCTCACCCCACCCTCTCCCTTTTTTCCTTATGTGGCAGGTGGATAATGCCAAAGTCCTCCACTATGTCGGAGCGGGCATCGCCTTCCCCACCAGTATGCTGTTTGTGGGCCTGCAGTCGGCGCTGACCTACCGCCTGGCCAAGACGCAGGGGGAGTACAATGTGGCCCACCTCCGGCTCTGCATGACCCTGCTGGCCTTCGTAGCCTTGGTGCTCAGTATCCTCCCCAGCCACTGACAGATGGCAGCCGTTGAAGCTGTCAAGTGCTTTACAGTCGAGCATAGCGCTGCCAGCCTGTTCCTCTGCAGTATATTTTGGTTTTATGGGACATATTTACAGCAAATACTGTGAGAATAGATTGAGGGCATGTTTTCAATGGATCAATCAGTTTTATCTGTGATAGATGTAGTTTACAGGAAATGTTAGACATTTTTAAAATTATGCAAATGTTCTCTCCTGCTGAGACTAAAATGAAAAGATATTAGTCTCATATCTATCTATCTATCTATCTATCTTATCTATCAATCTATCTATACGATTTTTGTTTTGTTGAGAAAAAAATTGAGAAATTTAAAGAATATTATTTTAAAAAAATGTTTTAAGTTACCAGGGATATTCACTACTAGACTACTTCACCTTATCTTCAATTATGGGGAAGAATAATGATATTAATAATAATTCTGTAACTTGTCACAATCGGGAAATGCTCAGTTCCTTATTATATAAATTGTTTTGTATTACAATATATAAAATGTGGATTTATAGTTTTACAAGTAAGATCAGGCAAATTTTGTCCAGAGGTGAACTTTCTACACATGAAAAGCTCAGACTTTCCTCAGGGCTTTGACGTTGATCTTCTTGCAGTTGTTGCCCTTAACCGTGTGTGCAGGTGGTGTGTTCTTCTGTCAGGAGAGCTTCGTCCTGCAGCACGCCTCAGCCATCTTCGAATGGGTCTTCTGTGTCATCGTCATGCTGTTTTACGGGACGTTCAGCTTCGAGTTTGCCAGCTTGTCAGGGGACACCATGGTGGTGCTGGCTAGAGGAGGGGCCCTGGGTGCTGCTGGGAGAGAACACAAGGTGGACGCACTGGGAGCCCACTCGCAGCCGCACCAACCGGAGAACCTGTCTATACTGTAGCCTCATTGATGCATCCAGATGTCACACAGATGGCTTGTTCATTCATTTCAAACTCTTGGTTGTAGAATGAGTTTAATTATTCATTTCCAGCCGCGCTCGTCTGAAGCTCTGAGGTGAACCAGGCCTGTGCAGCAGCCATTCATGGTAGAGTGGATCCTACCCTTACAGCCCGAGGGGGTGTAGATCTACTGCCACAGTAGAGAGCTCCACTTGCATTGATTGTGTCTTTAAAGAACTTGCTTGCATTTTGCACAAAGCACAAGTGTGAAACCAAATTTTCAGTATTTTGTCAATCATGTCAAGAGAATCTTCCCTCCCCTGCTGAGATCCTGAAACCTGTCTCAAGTGTGGCCTTGGACCATTTCTGCTTCACTGCCGCACAGCGCTAAAGGAGTGAAGGCTGCTGGACGGCCTGGCTGACAGTGTTACAGTGGCGAGACGGAGTGAGAGAAGATGGTGTTACAGAGGATCCAGGTCACATGAACACAATAAATCCAGAGAGTTTATAGACGCTTCAGTCAGTGGTCTGCCTTTTGCAATCATTTACTCCTGCAGTAAGCAATATATTTGATATTAACAAATCAAATTATTGTAACATTGAAGCGTTCCAGAGTATTGAACACCCTGAGAATAAACCTCCTGCTCCACGTAGATTTTAGTGGCTTTTATATGACAGAAAGTTTGGAAAGCAGAAGACATTTTTCTCTGGAGCTGCATAATTATGGTTAAAAGGAAAGTGGATATTGGACTCATATTCTTCAGATGGCCGTTAGGATAATAATGCTGCTCTGTTTCTGCTGGAAGAATACGTAGCTATAGAAGTTAACCAAAACAGCCTCTGTTTGTTTTGTGGTCAAAAATCACCTAAAACAGCTTTATATAATGCACTTGTCAAGGACTTCATTTTCTATCAGCAACTCTACATATGCAAAGCTAACACTATTTTTAAAGTATCAGCGTCAGGATGCTTTGGGTGGCGTGCCATGTCATTATATCACCTGCAACATACAACATACATACAATAGATCTGGTGCCTCATGAATGCAAACCTTTACGACTCATTGTACCACGTCAACCTGAAACCTCACTTTTTAATTCAGCTTCCTCTCTGTAGAGTTCCTGCCATAGAATATGAAAGAGAGATGACAAGGCGTCCAGAGGCTAAATGCGTACCGGCTAATTCAAGCCAGAGCTCTGGCTTTATTGAGTTTGGTGACGAGGCATCACACGTGGTTTCAGGTCTTATGCTTGGAGGTCTGCATCCGATTACACCCCCCATCGAGGAGGAGCAGCAGAATGAGCTCTCACTGCTGAACCTTCTGACTTTCTCTTTGGATCTCGGACATCCCCATAGTAGGAGTTTCTACATTGGGACAAATGGAAGAGTGAGAAGGAAGTAATGAGACACAAGTGAGATGAACTGTCCTGCTCGCTGTACGTGCCAAATATCAGTCATCGGTGCTCAAACACAAAAGGCCTTATCCTGTCATGTTTCCCAGAGTTCAGCTGTGATTATGATGAGTGGAAGCAATAAGACGGGGATGTGGGGTCAGTTCTTGGACGAGTAGGAGACAGGAGGGCTGAGAGTGCCAGGAATTCCTAAGCAGATATTTATCACAACAAGAAAAAATCTTGTGATATCTGTAGTTTGGACTCATGGTTTAGAATCTTCTCTTCAGTCGTTCCTTGGTGAAGATATCCTCATGTTGATTTGCATTCACTGTCTTTCTCTGACAGTGTTGTGTTTATATTTTGAATTCTGTGTAACATTAACACAGTTTTTTATTTCTGGTGAAAAACCAGAGCAAGCTGCACAACAGCGATAGTTTTGTTAGTTTGCTCTTTAAAAATATTGCTCCCTCTCACCACAACCAGCCACATGTTGTGCAGTGCCAGTATTTGTTGAGTGCAAGTGCTTAAATGAGCTTTCTTCAAATGCAGTTTCACAATCTGAAATATAGGGACTGAATTATAGTAAATCACTCTGGGACTAAATGTTTGAAACAAGGCTGAGCTGGAGGAGCTAGTGCTCGTTGCTCCTGTGGAATGAGCTGAGATGAGGTTAGAACCCCGGCAGCTGATCACCTGCTTCTCTCTGCTGGTTAAAGTGCTCATTGCACATGAGCTTGTGTTAGGATCAGAGCTGGAAAGTCGTATTTCAGTTTGTTTTCTACTTGACGTGTTCAGTCCGTCAAATCTGCTTTTTTTCCTCTAGTAACACCTGACCTCATGTCCACATACTACTTCTACAATATGCATTCTTCTAACAAATCACATGTTAATATTCAATGTTCTATAAAACGTTAATAAGCCAGATGATGGTGCTGCTCTAGCAAGAAACATTTCATTATTATGCATTTACTAAAAGTTACTTTACGGTTTGTGCATGTTCTTTTCAATTTAAATCCTTTGCGTCATCTCCTCGGCCTCCTCGTCATTTCATTTCTGTCCTTTTATTTTTTCCCCTCGTTTTCTGATCTGTCTGATCTTTGCACTCAGGAAAATGTTAAGACACCAGCTGCATTGTTCAAAGCAGAACCGACTGTTTGCTTCTGCCCCCCGTTGCCTTTTTGTTTTAATGGAAACTGTTTCATGTTCGCGAGGACTCATTTTGTATATTTTGCTTTTGTGTAGAGTAAGCGCAACAGCTTTTTTTATTGTAATCAGTTGCAGGATTGATGGTTGCCTGTGATGTAATCGATTATTTTTGTTAATCAAAGACTCAGTAAAGCTTAAGAGAAGAATAAACATTCCTTAACAGTTAGCTTAGTTAGGATGCTTATGCTGCTTCACACAGATGTGGTTAAATATCTGCAAAGATAAACCGGTTGACTCATGTTTTTAGTATATGATGGGTGAGAGCATTCTAAGAAACCAACTAGTATTTGTAAACCTCAGAAGATTCTATTACTCAATACCCAGTTTTCTCAGTTAAAATGCAAAATATTCCCTATGTGCCTTATGTATTATTTTGATAATGAAAACCAAAGAGGTTTAGGTTATAAAATTCTATTTTGATGAAAGTCATGATTGTATGTGTGAGTATAAGATCTATATATGTATAGATATAGATATATGCCTTAATGTTTAAAAAATAAAGCTAAAAACCTAAAAAAGCATTTCTCCCTTCATTGTTTACTTCATGTGAGTTGCGTTCAGATGTCGATTGAAAAAGGCCAAACAACACTTTAAAACTTTAATTTTCTTTCATTGTTGAATTATTTACATTGTCCAGTTTCTCTGCCGACAACGTCAACAGATGATGGTACAGATCAAAACATTCGACAGAGGAAAAACGTCTCTTAAAAAAACAACGTTGGCTGTAGAAGAAAGCATGGATTGTCACCACGGAAACTCCTAAACCTCCCCACACACTTCACCAAGCCCATCAGAACATACATTGATTAAAGACAGAATCTGACCCATTACATTTCTAATACCCTGTGAGAAATATATTCATGTATTTCCTCTAAACCCATGGAGACAATGTCGGCCCGTGGTATAGAGCTGCAGGGTAACCAGCCAACAGTCCAAGATGTGTTTTTTGGAGAACATCAAAATTCATATTGAGGAGAAATGAGGAAAGAGTCTCGAGGATGAAGAGAAGCTGCATTTGAAGCAATTTACTATGTCTGATATGAACTATAACTGAACACAGGCTTAAAACAGAATGCAATTGTAAGACATCAGTGCAGCTTTGATTTAATGCCAAGAGGAGATTGATTCATGGTCAATTAGTTGCTAAAAAAAAATACAGACACATAAAATCCATCCACAGATGAAGTGAGCAGCAAGTTGATATTAAAACAGTAAAAGTGGTGACAGAAGTGAAAACATGAGACTCCCTGACTGTTTTGCATTTGATTGAGCGCAGCATATTTCATCTCTGGAAAATAAAAGCTTGCCAACGTTGAAATGATCTGTGCGGTGGTCGTAACGGTGCAAACAGCTTCCTGTCGCACACGTTACAAAATAAGACTTAAAAAAGAAACACATTTTACACTCATGACAGAAAAGATTAATTTCTTCCTCTAAAGCCAAGCCTTTGGTTTAGCAATAATTATGCCACTGACACTCACATGATCGTCACTGACAAAATACTTGCTATTGTCTATAGCACCTTTTGAAAATGAAGCACTGAGGTTGTCTCCGTACACAGTAAGGTTACAGTCACAGCTTTAAAATAAAACCCTGCTTCTAGTGGTGTAGATGTTCTAATCATCAGAGGATTTTATTTTCTGTGTTGTTGGTTTACCAGGGAAGAGCTTTGAATAGTGATGGTTCTTACTGGATATTTTAGATGCTAGAAAAGGATTAGTTACTGAGACGTCCTCTTTTACATCCGTTTGGCTACAAATACTCTCAAAATGATCTTCTCATCTCTTTAAAGCTGACCCTGACTTTGGCTTTACTTCTTCCCATTAAAACGTGTTCTATCAGTGACCGGAGGTTGCAGTTGTAGCCCACGAGCAGTTGTCGATCAGGACGAGCAGGTGGTGGTTTTTAGAGGACAAGCTTTTTGGGCATCTCCCAGGTAAACTCTGGTCGACCGAAGTGGCCGTAAGAGGCTGTTTGCTGGTAGATGGGCCTCTTCAGGTTCAGTTCCCTGAGGGAGGAAACAGAGGAAACGAATCATCAGAGGTGAGGAAGTACACAGGATAATAGAAGCTTTTTATTTCTAAATTCATATATGTTGATCTGTTCCTTTTCATTCATTCTTTGTAAATGATCTTATATGGACAACATCTAGTGTGTTTACATTTTGAAACTGTCTTTGGGGCCCTCTAGTGGTTATATATAAAAAGGCAGAAGACAAAAGCTATAAAACTGCATATATTTTCAACAGGCTGCACTTTAATAATTCACAATAAAGTAATCTGCGTATTGTTGAGTTTTGATTAATCAATTATTGATGAATTCTCAAAAAAGTGGTGAAAATCCATCATCACTTCCCAGAACCCAACACTGCGTCCTCAAGTTTTACACAACCAGCCACTGGATTAGTCATTTACTGACATGTTTAATGTAAACAAGCAGCATATTCCTGAATTTTAGAGGCTTCAACCTGAAAATATTTGTCTTTTCCCTCAAAAATAGAAAAATTATATAATTAATCAATAACCAAAGACGTTGTCTATCAAATTGGTATCTGCTAATTGATGAATAGTTTCAACTCTGCTTTTAAAGAAACAAAATAGTATGGCCATCAGATTAACAGGAGACATGCTATATTTTCCACACAGGATAACCACTGCTTGTGACAAACACAGAGGTCGTATTCACATATACCTGACAATGACTCCGGGCCGCAGATCAAAGTTCTTGTTGACGATGTGGAGCAGCTCTGTTTCTGTTTTCTGGGAGGAACCGTAGGTGAACAAGGAGATGGACAGAGGCTGGGCCACTCCGATAGCATAAGACACCTGGAACACACCCAGACAGGTAAATATGAATGTTTCTATCTGCACATGTTGACACTTCACTCGGAGTGACAGGAGCCGCTCACTCACCTGAACCAGGACTCTCCTGCACAGTTTGGCTTTGACCAGAGACTTGGCGACCCAGCGAGCAGCGTAGGCAGCTGAGCGGTCGACCTTTGAGAAGTCTTTGCCGGAGAAAGCTCCGCCACCGTGAGCTCCCCAGCCTCCGTATGTGTCTACGATAATCTTCCTGCCCGTCACACCAGCATCACCCTGGTGACCCAAATGTAAGATAAGTGGTTACTTTTTTTTTTCTTATTATTTTTTTCTATGTTTGCTTTAGATGAAATGAAAAGTGCGAGTGTGTTCATCACCTGAGGTCCTCCAATGACGAAGCGACCGCTTGGCTGGAGGTGGTAGATGGTCTTGTCGTCTAAATATTTAGCAGGAACCACAGCGTTGATCACCTGAAAGAATCAATGCTACATTAAAACCTAAAAGAAATTATGTCCAGAGTAATTCATTAGAGTGAGCTAACAGTAAGACGTTTGAATGAGTCTCTACCTTCTCCTTTAGCACCCTCTTCTGTTCCTCCAGAGAGATGCAGTCGTCGTGCTGGACGGAGATCACGATGGTGTGAACTCTCTTTGGGATCACGGCTCCATCCTTCTGCTCATAATGCACCGTCACCTGTGGGATGGACGTCAAGTTAGTCTGCAGCCTCAAAAACTACCGAACAGATTACCATGACACTCAGAGGAAGGTGTCAGGGAAGAACTCATCAGATCAGCAGGTAGCTCCAGGAATAGTTTTTAACCCTCCTTTAACATTGTTAGATTTTAGTTGTTTTTTTTCCTTGATTTCTCTTAGAATAATTAATGGATATTGATGAAAAACAAATCATGTTTAGGGGAATTATATTTATGAGTGTTACTAATTTGGTGCAGATCCAAATAAATGGATCCAGGGAATTCAAATGTGGTCTTTCTACTTTTCCCTTATTTTCCTAATTTCCCAAATTTGTATCATTCCCACAGGATGATGAAGTTTCCTGTGATTCTTTTTTATTTTCTTGTACCGACCCTCACCTAAACTCTAAATGAGTTCTTGGTCTGATTTGCTTTAACATCCGAGAAAAATAAATGATTCCTGGAGCTGCTGCTGTCTCCTTCTCTCTGCTGTTGAGAACAAAGTGGGTCTGAATGACAGAAGTGAAAAAGACTTATGCTGATAAATGACATGATAACATAACAATTCAATACTTTGTTAATTAATTCATTAATACGTTTCTGGTGCAGTGACAATGCGTGCTAACTCTAATCTGGGATAAAATCTAATGCTCTATGTTCAATTCCCTGGTTTAAAATCCGACCATCTCTCTCCTGTCGGACAGAAGGAGATTATCCACTTTGTGTTGAAATATAAAACTTTTGACTGAGGAAGTTAGCTGCTTATTTTAAATACCTGCAGTAGCCACCGTTAATCTGATTTTGTCTGCTGGCACCGGTGTAAATCTCTTGGAAGACACCCAGAGTAGAACAATGAACTACTTCACACTGCGACCAGTGTAATGGTGTTACCGTTTCAGTCCTGCGTGTTTTGTAATAGCACACATATTATTACTTTACCTGTGTTTTAGAGTCAGGACGCAACCAGGGGATGGTGCCGTTGCGTCTGAGTTCAGCCATCGATGAGTTGAGTTTGTGGGCTAACACGATGGTGAGGGGCATGCACTCCTCTGTCTCGTCTGTGGCATAGCCGAACATCAGACCCTGTAGACGAGAGAGAGAGAGAGAGAGAGAGAGAGAGAGAGAGAGGGGATCTATAATACAAAGATAGATAATGACAAAATATGCATATTCCCTGCACTGAAACTACAGCCTGAGAAGAATCTATTAGACCTATACATTCATATAATATCAGTACTGTCACATAAGATCAACAAATACAGCATTTACTTCATATAGAAAAACAGAAAAGGGCAAACAGAAATGATAAGAATACCTTAAGAGTGACAGAAACCGAAAGAAACCGAGAGAAAACCCAGTAAAATAAATCAATTCAAGATAAATCTGGTAAATTAATAATAATAAGTAAATAAATTCAGATTGTTATGGTATTTCTGTACTTCTAAATTGGGGTATTTGTATTTCAATTTCATGAAACTTTACACGTTTGAGTGGGAAATATTGTACTTTACAGTATGTATTGTTACTATTGTTGCTTCACAGATTCAAATTGTGGATACTTATGTCACTATCACCCAGCCCTCCAGCCAACACGGGCCCAAGGACACACTGAGCTGTTGCAACAGTCGTACCTGGTCTCCTGCTCCAATGTCCTCCTCCTGTCTGTCAACATGGACCCCCTGAGCAATGTCTGGACTCTGCTGCTCCAGAGCCACCAGCACGTTACACGTCTTATAGTCGAAACCTACAGAGGGAGAGCGAATGAGAGGAAACGTTGACAACACTGACCACACGTTCCCTCTACTTTTCTTCTGTTGTGCATTATTTTCTCACCTTTGTCGGAGTTGTCGTAGCCGATGTGTTTGATGGTGTCTCTGACCACCTTCTGGTAGTCCACGTTGGCCCGAGACGTGATCTCCCCACAGAGCAGCACCATGCCAGTCTTACACACCGTCTCTATGGATACAAACAACACATTACATTTGAAGTCATTTTACATAATTCTTGACCAGGACACGTGTTTAGACTTCGGCCTGATTGCTGTTATCAGCAAGTTCACAGGGTCAAGCTCGAGAGCCCTCATCTTGTGACTTTCAGGGATCAATACTGAAATATGATAAATAATCTCAACAATGTTGATCATTTCATTCCAGGTGAGACTCAGGCCTGTGGGTGAGAAGTGCCTGTGATTCATCTTTATTTGAGAAGACATGATACTGAATGAATCCTCTCTCTTTCTCTCTCTCTCGGTTTTCGTGTGTTTACTCACCACAGGCCACTTTGGCATCTGGGTCCTGCTTCAGGTGAGCATCCAGGACAGCATCGCTGATCTGGTCACAGATTTTGTCTGTGAAGAGGAGACAAGCATTAAGCTAAACTTGAATTTTGGCCTGTTTGAGATTTAAGAGGTTTCGTGGCAGGAATACATGTGTTTGAAGAAATTTTTTTTATTTTTCTGTCTTTTTCACTGTAGGTTTTGTATAAGATTATAAATAGGAGATTTTAGCGAAGTGTCCAAATATTTCTCCTGAGGTAGAGCTCATAGATGAAGCTGATATTTCAGACAGGAGGAGTTGTTGGATTTTCATTGTGGGATTTGAATGCAGCAGCAGGACAATGCCTCACAAAACACTCCATTCATCTCTCTGTCATCCTGCTGAAGCAACGCAACACACGTGTTACATCAGAAACAACATCAACATCTGGTTGCACTGACTCTGCAGTTACACAGAGGACCTCACATTATACACACAACACAAATCAGGATGATTGATATCAAATGTTGTTGTTTGCAGATCCGATTCTGATCCTGAAACATGGCCGAGCTCTGTGGGAACAGCCCAGACCTCGAAGTGTGTTATCAAATCAAAAGGTTTGAGCAGCAGCCTCCTGCCAAGGCCACTCTCCTCAGTGAATATACAAACAGTGAGAGGAAAGTTTTCATTTCATTACTACAATATCTGTTTTCCTATGAGCTGCATCGTTATTTAATGCTAAAGAAATATTTTTTTATTTAAGGATAAATGCAGATACGTAAAGATACGTTCTAATAAACAGTAAGCTTGAAAGAAGACAGTGAGATGTGGGTACATTTCCTCCAGACCTGAGGCTCTAAACTATGATTTTCTACCACTGCGGTTCTTACATATGGTCGAGGGGCTCACAGTTCACTGAAGTACCGTCGTTATCTGCAAAACTAGACAACTGGTCAACACTGTTGCGTTTACTGATTATCGATTTGACACAGGGGACTTTGTCAGGTTAGGGATTACAACACATTGAGAGAAGGGGGGAGGGGGGTAACTTGAAGGCAGCATTGGATAGGTTAGACTAAATTTTAACTTTTATCAGGAGGGTGTATCAGTGTATCTATTTTAAGTCCCACTATGCAGCATTAGTTAACAATATACAAACATTTAATAAATGCTTTAAATCTCACTATAATGTAGGCGCACACAAGAATCTTCAAGGGTTATTAAGATACAGTATTTTTCAGCAATACAACTTTTCTTATGAAGATATATTTTATATTGTTACAACTGTGGTGCACCATTTGACATTTACCACCAGCCTCCACCTACAAATGGAGTTATAGATGTTATCAATAACAATCAATTACCACTGAGATCTGAAAATGTATAATATTTCTTATAAAGGTTAAATAGGGAGAAAATGTGTTGCCAAGATGGGATTGATAATTTTGTGGACTTGAAAAGCACTGACAGCCACATGAAATACCGTGAACCAGAAATTAAAATTCTTGAATCCCCCCTCAAGCAAAAAACATTCCAGAGAGACAGTGTGACAATGTTGTTCTGCAGCAGCTATTTTGATTTGACATGTATTCGAACATCTCCGTCTAATGTCAACATGAAACTTGTGTCTGCACGTCGGCCTTTTCTCTATTTTGTGGGTCACTTTTATCCTCAGCGTGCAACCTAACACCAGGCTGCTGCCCAGAAGTGGGGGGCAGCGAGCACATGTTGCTGTGAATGGAATACCAGCCATGCTTGGAGAGTAAATATGCAGCTCTGTGGAGTTATTTTGGACATACAGCCTCAACTTGCACTGGGTTTATTCACATGCATATAAATGTTGAGACAGAATGTGGCAGGTTTAAAGAGAAGTGTTGAATCTATTCCTCTGTGTACAGGTGAAGAAATAGTTAAAGTCAAGTTTTGGGAAATTGTAAATATGGGTGTTGATCTGAAGTTCTCACACGTGTATCTGAAGTTGACTCACCTGGATGTCCCTCGCCTACGGACTCCGACGTGAACATGAATGAGCCATCGTCCAGCAGATCACTCATTTTGTCTACAGCACCAGGTACTTGGCGAGACTTGGCACACACAGGGCGAAAAGGTTCCTTGGTTCCAAGCAGCGAGCGTTCAGAACTGAGGGCTGCTTTATATTCCCACTGGTTCTCTGTAAGAGAGAAACGAAGAAAGGGAGGCAAACAGCCGAGCAGCCAATACAAAGTCTATCCTACAAAACTGCACGTCTGTGTCCACATGGCCCAATATATATGGCTAAGAGAACACACACGCACACACTCACTCACACACGCACATGCTCGCTCTGTCACTGTCTCTATCTCTCTTTCTCTCTCAAACACACACTCTGTCACTCACACACACACACACACACACGCACACACGTCATGTGAATCCATGGGACGGTCCATTCTGGGAGTGGGTGGGGAGGTGCATGATGGGAGGCCAATTCACTTTGTGGAAAACACTTGTTAACCCCTTGTGTACAATACGTTTGCAGGAGTGTATGTGTGTGTGTGTGTGTGTGTGTGTGTGTGTGTGTGTGTGTGTGTTTATAGTCAGACCCTGTGCTGCGACAGCTCCACTTTAGGGTGTCACACTTCTCGAGTGGGAGCAGAAACATCTTTAATAGGGGGGTTACCCCTCCTCCCCCCGTCCAGCACACCGGTGGGACAGCTCTGTCTGCTGGGACATGAGTGGGTCGTTGGGCAAGCTTTGGATAGAGGGAGAGAGAGAGAAAAGGTAGTTGTTGTTTAGTGGGAAAATGATGCAATCACTCCTGTTTACATTGTGCTCAGATGTAAATAATGATGAAACAATGAACACAGTGCATAAGAGAAGAAACACAACAGCAACATGACTGTGAAATAAATATTACATAAATATATAAGTTAATTAATGAAACTATTTTGGATTTAATGGGGTAAATGTTGAAATGAATATAAGGTAACTATGTGAGTGAGATAATGTAGTCAAGGGCCATACTGGAATAAAATACAACTTAGTACTTGAACTGCATTTGAGTGTTTCCACTTTACATACAGTATTTAAACTCTATACTTCATTATCTCTCTGAAAATATTATAAGAGTATAAGTACCTGCATCTTACATATACAGATATATAGTTTACTAAAAATTAATACATGGTTTCTAGGGCAATCAGTATTAAGAATGTTCAGTGGCCATGGCAACCAACTGATCAACCGTGGAGATAAAAAAAAATTGTGGAAAAGTGGAGCCAATAATCTTCTGAAAGGAAGCAGCAATAATGAGGGATAAAATAGAGAAACTTAGGTCAAGTACTTCCCATCTAGTACTTGAGAAAAAGTACTTACTTTACCCACTATGCTTTGTATGTGAAATCTTTACACACAATCTATAATTTCAAAATAAACGTAGTGAAGTTTGTCCATATTGAAAATAAGTGGAAAAAGTTTAAATTATCATAAAAAATACTGGTTTAAACTTGTAGTTGAGTACAGTATTGTGTAGTGAGTAACTCTCCATCACTGCCGATAATTAAGTTTTGAGCCTGTAGACAGTCACCTGTTGTCTAAATGCTCTTTTCCATCCCACTCGCAGCCCGAGGCTGTTGTCTTTGTGCCCAACTGCGGAAAATCTCCGGCCATTTCCTGAGAGAAGATCAAATAATGAAGATGTGTCTCTGAGATATCTCGTGGCCTTTCAGGTGACTCAGTGTGCCTGTGTTTTAACTCAAAACCAGGGGCTGTGGTGGACTGTTTGTGCCAGTGATGCTCACATATGGACACAAACATACCGTGTGCCTCATGCACAAACATACAACTGGAGTGACAATGGGACCGTTGGCCACACAGACACAGACACTGTGCCTTTCATTTGTGTAAGCTCTGCAGAGAGATAAACACATCTCTCTTTACTGGAGTGAAACAGAGCAGACGAACTAATTCTTTCTCTACATCTCTGTCGCTCTCTGGCTCATCTGGCCCTGATTTCAATTGGTGTTGAGCTGACCTCATGAAATTAGAAGAGAATTTTAACTAGCTCTCTATCACTGAGTGCTTTAAGCCTTAATTAAAGCAGACATAACCAGAAAAGAAAAAAGAACAAACCACAGAAACAATGTAAACAGTTATTGATTGACACGTTTTCCCCCATTGTCATAGAAAGTCTAGAAGTGAATGTGAACTAATATCCTTTTGTATTTTAAAGAATTCGTAAATCTACACTCGGCCTTAAAAGCTGTGCATGTGCAGGACTTTAGTGGGTCTTTAGTAGATGCAGCTTGTTAATTTTCAGGCAGCAAACAAGAATTCACAATATAATATATATATTATATAAGAGCGATGGGTTTAATCAATAATGTATTATATTATATTATATTGAATGTCTGGCTGAATTATAGTCATATACAGTCATGCACATAGGACATCATTGTGATGATTGTTAATAATGCAGCCAAATTAGTGCCAGTGGGCCAGCTCCTACACTTGTTATATATATATATATATATATATATAAATATAAAATGTGACCAAATGTTAACAGTTCACCTGTAAATGTGACCAAGCTCCTTCCTGCAGGGGGTTTGGGTTCAGTTGAATGAAACAAACATGAACTAGATTAAACTAGAGTTGGCATGAATGTCCTGCCCAACGCTGAAGAGCACAGAGAGACAGTCTGACAGCACAGCGAATGACCTCTGGATGATACACCTCTGTTTGTTTTGGCCTGAATGGAGACAGAATGAACACGTTCAAGACAAACGCCACTACACCCACGCTATCTGAAGACAGAGGAGGACTTCTCTCAGTTTGTGTAGTTTGACTCAAAACACGTGTTAATGACTGACCAATTTTTCAACACTAACAAGATGGCTCTGGTTGTGCTGACAGATAACTGGTATCAGAGATTTGATGTGTCAGCATGAAGCATGAAGAAGGTGGAAATGAGCTAGGGGCTACTTAAACATATGAAATAAAATAAATGAAAGCTAATTGGGAAAATGATAATATCAAAAGCTTCAAATCGTAACTTTTTATGACTTGTACCTTTTCTTTTCTGTCTCTCTGGCCTGTGGGGGCATGGAGAACACCAGGGGCTTTAAAGACAGGGTAAAGTCTCCTGAGGTGAAATATCTGACCTCTATGAGCTCCAGTTATCATGCACATGGAGGTCAGGCTATCAAGAAAAACAAGGTAATCACCAACAGCAACGTCAATACCATGTTTGACTGAGTATGTAATAACTGTAATGATTCTTAATAATTATAAATACTTGATCCCTTCAGTATGTCTACAGAATAAACTATCAATCAAACTATCAGTATCATCAGTCATCTATGAGTTAGAGTAAGGTTGAGGTAATTACCATTCCAGTTAAATATCTGCATTAAAACTACATAAGGGTTTATTTGTGGTAAATGACTTTTTTCACCATACAAATAAGCTCTGACCTGCAGAATAATTATTAGTACATAAGCCTTTTTTGTAGATACAGTTGCATTTAGCATCAACTATATTTTAACAAATCTTGTGCAACTGAAACTTAATTTTCATACACAACAAGTGGATTTATATAGTTTTAACTATTGGGTTCACTTAAAAAAGGGATTTCTGAATCAAATGTATTTTAATAGACATCATTTTGGAGTTGGAGTTCCCAATATCCTCACACCTACAGGTGATTTACATATGATGTACATTAATCTCTCCATAGGATTTAATAAGCAAAGATACAACACTAGTGAGGATAGACTTAAATCATCTTGGTTTCATACCGGACTAGATATAATGAAGAAGATATAGCTGCATTCTAAATAAATTACAATATAAGACTGACCAGACTGAATCCCATTTTTTTCATGGGGGGGTTAAACTACACTCAGATAAGATCTGTACTAACAAGGTTGAAACTAAAGACACGAGCTGGATGACCAATGAGTAAATTAACAAATTCATTCATTAAACAAGATTTGAGAGATGTGTTATAAAATTAAAGTTATTGTTGCCACTTTACTGAACTCTTCTAGGTAAAGTCTGACTAAAGAGATGCTCATATGAAACATACAGAGGTTATGAGTTCATCCTGTTGTGCGTACATCCACGGAGCCTTTGGACCCTTTCGAAGATGAGGAGTAAAAAGAGGAAGGCCTGACGACCTTTGGGTTTGTTTCATATCTTCACCTCAGTCAATGAACATCTAACGATTATGTCAGTGACACTGAAAGCCCTGTTGCCTTTAACTCATAACTTTTAGAGACAGGTAATGTGTAACGTTGAATTAAATTAAGTGAAAAACATGAAGTCCATTCATCACAGATATACAATAATTCCATGAGTTTCCTGGCTCTTGGTCGAGGTTAAGTAGTGGAGGCCATTGTGCGTCTGCTGCAGCCGCCCCACAGCTTTTACACACACAGAGATAAATAATGGTAAACTGATTTTATTAACTATTGTTTGATTTGATTTTATTCTTGTATCTTTTTAATTGTATAAAACTTTGACCAACACGGCTTGTTTCAAATGTGTTTAATGAATAAACCTGACTTGACTTGAGTGTCTGATTTTAAGAAAAAAACAACGCAGCATGGCTGAACCAATTAAAAATCAGTTTGACAAATTTTAGCCACACCAGCGTCTCCTCCTTCTCTCTGATTGGCTACAAGACGTGTGTAATAGTGACCCCTATTGTGCTTCTGCTCAAAAAGCCGGGGTCACGGTTTTGGGGTCACTTTGTGGTTAGAGTGTGAGTCAGACTGAAACTTGACAGAACAGGATGAGATAAACGGACCCTGGCAGCCTCAGGGGCTGTTAACACTGTTTGTTTTTCCCCAGGTTCAAGGACGCTCAGTTTACCCCCGCAGCTCGTCTCTGCTCATCTGGTTACCAGCCAGTTCCATCTGGATGGCCGGCAGGACGGGCAGAATGAGTTGGATCCTGTTGGCCTGAAGTTTTAATGCATGGCCAAGCAACTGAGGAGCGGTTAGTGTTATATAAGGAATAACATGTCGATAAAAGAGTAGATAATAAACACATGTAAACAGAAATTTTCTCTTTTTTATCATTGCTGTTCTGTGTTTTCACAAGCTGTTACAGCTTCAGCCGATTCTCTGTGTTGAAGGTTATTTCTTACGTGTTCAATGTGTGACTTGTTTGTATTTATCTGATCTAGTTTCATAGGGTGGAATTTTTGTATTATAAAACATCAATGTTAACTCAGTAATTACTATAGTGCTCCCTGACCTTCTTTAACTACTGCCCACTTCTCATGTCAACCAATCCCTGTGGGCGAGAATGCCACACAGAAGGTGGGGCGCAAATCTCCAGCTGTGATTGGCTGTTGGTCACACACACTCCACACTAGAGCAGCACTGGAAAAGGCAGTTGTGTGTATTTGCACCTGTGTGTGTGTGTGTGTGTGTGTGTGTGCCTGCTTGTGATGAGAAAACCAGCTACAAAACAGTGTGACTGAGCAAAGACCTCACTTGAACCTCACAAATTAGTTTTGTGCTTCGTGATGTCGGAAATGTTCACTGTCTCCTCGTAGAATATTTTTAACTACAAATGTGTGATTATCTGCACAAGCACAACCCCAACTTTAA